TGCTGGTAGCTGCCTTCTGTTTGTTCTGCGGCTTCTGCGATGACTTGTTTTGAACTGGTTTCTTGTTGGCACCCGCGTTGTCACTGTTAGGCACTGCCTTGCCCCAGTGAACAGCTGCCGCTTCTTCAGGTGTCGGAAGTTGGCTCGTCTAAAGAGGAAAACAAATTAGTCTTTTGATTAACTCCAAAACTCATTTGTCACAACTTACCTCCTCATACTTTCTCACCAGGGCACTGAAGGCGTCACGTATCTCCCTGCACCGCTTCACATAGTACTGCCGCTGGTGCTCAGCAAAGGTGACCTTCCACACCGCCGCCATCTGCTTCGTCTTCTCGGTGGGCAGCAGCGAGGCAAACTCAGGATTCGAGCCGCACTCGCTCTTGTACAAAACAAAGCCATTCTTCGGAGGCCGCCTTAGCCCGCTCTTCTCCACAAACTCCACCTCCTTGAGGTTCACCGCCGCCTTCTTCCGCGACCGCTCCAGGTACACCGAGGTGCCTGGTTTTTCCGCCGGCAGGAACTTCTTGATCGACTCGGCCAGGTCGACGTACACCTGCCGCTCGCTGCTGGTCATTGCCTCCCACCGTCGATTGATGTCCGGTATGAGTTCGCCCTTCATTTTGCTGGGCTGCTCGCGCTGTATCCTCATCAGCTCCTCCGTCTGGTAGTAGGTGTACGCAGAGGAGAGCAACTGGGCTTGCTGGGCTTTGGTCATCTTTCGTGGCTTGCTGAGGCTCTTCAGCCGCTGCTCCGAAAAAACCTTTTCTCTTTTTTCTTCAGGCAGCCCCTTCAGGTAGGCGTCAAAACATTCCACGACTTGAGCTTGATCTTTCTCAAATTCGGCGTTGTACTTCGCCCGCTCATCTTCGCTCAGCTCTCGCCACAGCTGGCCAACTATCTTCAACTTCTCTGTTGGGGGCACCTTCGTCATCTCCGTCATCTCCATCATCTGCTGGGTGAAGAAGGCGTAGCCCGAGGTAGATGGGCGTTCGGGCACCCCATCAAACCGGTTCTTCAGCCGCTGCTCCTCCCTCGTCAGCACGGAGACGTTCTTTCGCGTGGGCGGCGGACGCAGGTAGTTGGGGTGCTTCGCACAGTACGTGCTCATCTCCTCCTCGTAGCGCTCTTGGTCCGTNCGGAGACGTTCTTTCGCGTGGGCGGCGGACGCAGGTAGTTGGGGTGCTTCGCACAGTACGTGCTCATCTCCTCCTCGTAGCGCTCTTGGTCCGTCACCGCCTTCCTGATCCACTTCATGCGCCGCTTCTCGGAGAGGGCATTCCAGGAGGTCCATATTGCTTTCCGGGCCGCCTTTGGCTCCATCGCCTGATACTTCTCCTGTGACATTCGATGTGTTTGGTAAAAGTAGAACGGCTTCCTCGGTTTCTCTGGCACGCCCAGGTCATTTGGCGTGGCCGCCGGTTTTCGATTGCGCTTGAAGAGATCAGGGTGACGGCGGCGAAACTCGGCATACTTTTGCCGGTACTCCTCCATTGCCTTGTCGTACTTCTTTCGGTACTTTGCTCGCTTCTTCTCGCTCAAGACTTTAAACTCGGCGGCCATGAAGCTCGACAGCTCCGAGGGGCTCATCCCCGGATTGACCGCCTGGTACTTGGCGCGCTTCTCGCTGAAGAAGAGAAAGTAGGGCGTGGGCGGCTTCTTGGGCTGGTCCGGGTGGTTGATGCGGCCAGTGCGCTTATTTCGAAATGGATTCTCAGCGACTACTTTGGCGTCTGCCAGAATCTCCGACAGGGTGCGATGGGTGCGGACCTGAAGTGGTCGATGATGAAATATAAAACATTGGTAAATAGAAAAGGAAACGTTTTCCCCTTACCTGTTGAATGATGCTGTTCAACGCCCGTTTGCACTCCTCACCGGAGCGGCCTCCGCCCATGCCGGCGGCCACCGCCGTCCAGTCCACCTTGTCCAGTGAGGTCCGGAAGCGGCAGGTCTCGTTGACCGGGGCCTCCCGCTCGACGCTCTTCACCAGAACGCGCAGTTCGGGTATCTCCCACTCTCTGAGATCGACGTTTTCTGGAAAATAGAAATAAGAATTTGATGGTGATTATTCAGATAGGTAGGAAACAATCAAACTACCAAAAAAGGCTTACGATTGGAGGACTCCTCCTCTTCGTCGCCCGCATCAAAGTGCTC